GAGAGAGGGAGAGAAGTGAGTGTTCTTGAGAGTTGGCTTAGAGAACTTGAAGAATTGAAGGACAATTGTCTAATGAAACTTCTAGTCTTGGGATTGAAGACTTAGGTAAGGAAATTCAACCTCTCATTGTTGTGTTTAAGTTGATTCTTGCATGGTTCATGTCTAATTGAGAAGCCAAGTCATGTCTTAGTCTAATAATGTTGAATTGGAGCTCATTCTATGCATGCATGTTTGAATTGTTGAGTTGTGAGTTGATTTCATGGTAAAATGTTATATGCATGTTCATATTGTGTTTAAGTCCTTGATTTCATCTTGTCCTTGGAAGAATTGGCTCATTAGAGCATGAAATTAAAGCTTTGAAATGGTTTAAATTCATGCATGTTATGTTCGATTTATGTTCATGAAAATTGGTTCGAAATTGAGTTGTTTGAAACACCCTTGGGCTTTGATTTTACAATTGAGCTTTGGAATCATGTTAAACTATGAGTTTTGGGATGTTTTCTGGAAAATTGGCCCAAGAGGATCGAAATTTATGTTTTAAAAGTTGAATTTGAACTTGAGGTTCAAATCTGGGAATTCCAGATTTTGAACTCACGCTCGAGCGGGGTGACTGGCGCTCGAGCGTGAAATTCGTGCTCCCAGTACTTTGCACTGCTTTGAAGTCCGCTCGAGCAGAATAATTGACACTCGAGCGGGACATTGTGTCTCATGCTCGAGTGGGTGTCGAGCGCCCAATCGAGCGTGATTTTCACCTGTCCAGCACTTTTGACTGTTTTGCAGAACGCTCGAGCGGGTAAGTCTGCGCTCGAGCAGAAACCTTTGTCTGTATGTCTGCTCGAGCGTGACCCCTATTTTTTAAAAATTCTGAAAATGCTTTTAAAGTGCATATTTGCATCCTCATCCCATCCTAGGCATTCTTAGGCCTAGTTTAAGACATCTTAATGAGGATATAGATGTAGAGCACACCAAGGCAAATTAGGGATTAAGTTATTATCTTTCCCAACTGTGTAGCTTAGTGTGTGTTCAATCTGTAACTGTGTAGGGTTGGCGACCGGGGACGTGCTTTAGCTCTACTGTAGCCCAGAACTCTGTGAGTAATAACTGTGTAAAGATATGTTCAAAATGATTATCTTCTGAACAATTGAACTGTACTGCTTTCTGAATTGGTACTGTTAATTGAAAGAATGTATGTCCTATATTCTGAATTGTATTGTGGCATCCTTAGCAATTACTGTTTACTATTACTGTTACAGAGATCTCTGTCGGTTCGCTTGTTGGAACCACTATTGTTTACTGATTGATGGCCATCATTTACTGTTTGGTCTTGTAAGACCTACTGTTTACTGTACTGTTATGCTAATGGATGCACCACATATGACTGTTATGACTGAATGACTAATATACTGAATCAACTGACTGTTTTCAATACTGAAAGGACATTCATTCTTAACCCCTTTACGCATTATGCTACTCACTGGGCTTTAGTTCATTACTCATATATATATATGTAGGTGTACAGGCACTAGACCGTGGTTAGAAGCGTCGGGGTAAGCTCCAGTTTTGTCAAGCTAACCACTGTGCCTCACTGCGAGATTCCGAGCCTGTCAAGTTTTGGCTTAGGGGTGTTTTAGTTCCCCCTTCTGTCTCTGTAACCATTTTGTTTACTGTACTGTACTGCTTAATAGGGATTAGGTCCCTGAACTGAATGATTGTATATATGTACATACTGTTCTTTACTGTTCATGTATATGTGTATGAAAGTCTTTTTGGCATCCAGATTGTCACAGCTCATTGGACATTGTTTATTTACTATTTTGGCTTCCGCCATGCCCCTGTACTCTGTTTTACTGTATTACTGTTAAGCAGGCCTTCGGTAATCTTGGATTACAAGCCAGTTACGGTGCTAAACCCATAGGGGCGGGTTTGGGTCGTGACACAAAACTATCTATACAGCGACTAAAATATTTTTTAGTCGCTGAAATTAAATTTTTGTCGACCAAACTTTTGGTCGACAAAGATAAACAATAAATTTTTATTTTTCATTCAGCGACTAAATTATTTTAGTTGCCAAAACTATATATATAGCGACCAAAATATTTTTTAGTCACTGAAATTAAATTTTTGCCGACCAAACTTTTAATCGCGAAAGATAAAAAGTAAATTTTTATTTTTCTTTCAGCGACTAAATTATTTTCATTGCCAAGACTATCTATATAGCTACTAACATATTTTTTTAGTAGCCAATTGTGGCACATTTAGCGACTTTATTTTTTTTAGTCGCCAATTGTGACATTTTTAGCGAATAAATTTTTTTTTAGTCGCCAAAAATTAATATACCCCGACTAAAAAAATTTAATAGCCAAATATTGTACTTTTACCGACTAACTTAATTTTTGGTCGCTAATTCCACAACTTTTAGCAACCAAAATATTTTTAGTTGGCAAAAGTGATCGCCAATTGTGTATTTTCTTGTTGTGCAAGCAAAGAAAAACTTATGGAATTGTCAAATTGTTGTCGCAGTTGTAGATTTGAATTGAGCATGGACATGACAGACTGAATACACCATAAACAAACAAACATAAATTGAGTACGTAAACACAGGAGATGTAGATAAAGAAAGCTTTAAGAAGGAAATTGAATTCAAGCAAATTAATCACACAACACAAGCATATATATATGTTTATTATGCCCCATAATAACTCATGCATCACAATTTAAGTGACAAGCAAATTCACATTTGTCACAGTAATAGATCCAATGATTTGGATTTCTTGGTTTCTCGCAAGCGTCACAGTAGAATTCCTCATATTCATCATGACTCTTGATGTTTAAATTTCCTTGTATTCAAGCATTCACAAGCAAATCCCGTGGATTTCACGTATGGATTTTATTATTTTGAGTTGTAATAATAAATTTTATTTTAATGTTTATCATTATCCTTTTAGAGTACATATTCATCTTTTCTTCACTTTTTTTTGGTATTCATATTTCAATAAAAAGCATAAATGTCATTATGTTTACATTTTTTCTTTGGTTTATTTTCATAAAAAAAATTAAAAATTGTAAATAAAAACTTATTTTATATCTACTTTCATTTTCAAAAAACTTCTAAAAAGTTTATAAAATTTAGTAATTTTGTTCACTTCAAAAAAAAAATTCACTTCTATAGAACGGCTATTAGACGAGCGATGATATAGGGGACGACGTGTCGGGCAACCAAGAAATAATATGTAGATCAGATGAGTTTGGCTGAGATGAAGATACTCAGGTGGATGTGTGGTAAGATTAAACAAGACAGAATTAGGAATGAGTGTATTCGGGAATGGAGAGGAGTAGCACCGATAGAAGATAAGTTGAGAGAGAATCGATTAAGATGGTTTGATCATATTCAACGAGGACTAACAGAGGCAGTAGTGAAGAGATGCGATGCTGTAACGGTATATGGAAGTATTAGGAGACGGAATAGGTTTAGATTAACGTTGGCTAGCATTGTAAATAGAAATATAGATATATTTAATTTGACTAATGAAATGACCTTTGATAGGATCACCTGAAGAAAAATGATTCATGTAGCCATCTCATTTGATGGGACTTAAGGCTTGATTTGGTTTGTTCACTTCAAAACATTTATAGCTTCTCTTTTTTTTAAAAAAAAAATAATAACAAAAAAATAAAATTTCCCTTCACCATCCATTGCCTATCGCCAATTACCACACGGCCACCATCACTAATAACCTCCACCAGCAATCGCCTCTCCGACCACACCACTTCACGTGACAGCAACCAATCAAGGAGTTGACTTACAGTTGTAAACACGATGCCCCAATCAAGGAGTTGACTTTGGAAATGAGTGCAAAGTGACCTCGTGCTATTCATGAGGATGCGCTTAATCAAATATAAAAATTGGAAACAAGTTGACAATAAAAATTCCCTTGGTGTATGTGTTGGGATATTGAAAGGCTGCCAAACAAAGAAAAACTTATGGAATTGTCAAATTGTCGTCGCAGTTGTGGAATTGAATTGAGCACAGAGCAAGGTTGTTAAAATTTGGATCTTACGTTAAATTATTAGAGGTGTTTATAGGATCGGATCGTAGAATCGGATCGAGAATCGTAAGATCTTACCCAAAAAAACAAATTACATAATAATTTAATTTAAATAAATATTTCTTATAAAGTATACACAAAATAAACCTATATTTTATTAAAAAGAAGTGAAGATATTGTGAAAAATATAATACTTTATGTAAAATGTACGTATAATATTATGCAATAGAAAACTCGATGGTAAAAGTTCTGTATTTTATCAAAAAAGAAGGTGAAGAAGAAGAAGAATTCTATAACAAAATACTTTACAATGTACAATAATGCATAAAAAGTGAAAAAAAATATTTAACAAAATTGGATATGAAAATAGATTAAGAACTCAAAAGAGTAGCTTAGTCGAATGATAAGGTTTGTCGTTAGCATCCCTGGTGGAGCGGATTCGAGTCACAAAAATAATTTCTCCAGAAATTGGGATAAAGTTACAATCATCTTACCCTTCTTAGACTCCGCTAAAGCTAAGTTTGTTTTTCCGACTATTTAATTTTCTTAAATTACCGCAATATTTGAATGTTTGTTTCCTAGTTTGTTTTTTTTAGTCTATTTGATTCAATACTACTTAATTTTTATTATTTATTTTGACAACATAAATTGATATTTAGACAACAAAGATAAAATTTACTACAAAATATGTCATACAATACAAAACCAGGCTTGTAAATTGGATCGGATAGGATCGGATTCGGATCGGGATTCCACGATCCTATAAGATCCAACTACCAGGATCGAAAGATCCTACCTATGAGGAGTTTTTTACACGATCCGGATTGATTACACTCAAATGGATCGTAAGATCGTAGGATCGTAAGATTCGGATCGGGATTCTGATAACCATGGCACAGAGATGACAGATTGAATACACAAACAAAATAAACATATATGTAAACACAGGAGATGTAGATAAAGAAAGCTTTAAGAAGGAAATTGAATTCAAGCAAATTAATCACACAACACAAGCATACGTTTATTATGCCCCATAACTAACTCATGCATCACAATTTAAGTGACAAGCAAATTCACATTTGTCACAGTAATAGATCCAATGATTTGGATTTCTTGGTTTCTCGCAAGCGTCGCAGTAGAATTCCTCATATTCATCATGTGGAAGGGTAGGAGTGAGGGAGAGAGTGTGTCTATGAGTTGTGTGTTTAAAGGTTTTTGGCAACAAACCACAATGGAGATGAGTCACAAAACCACAGACCTCGCAGCAATAGCAGACATGCTTGCCAAGATTGCCACAGGCCTTGCATTTAAACTCGAACGCAAATGAAATCGGATAGGTCTTGATACAAAGTGGGTGTTCATGGCAATTATGGTGTAGAACAGAAGGAAACATACCGCATCGGAGGTTGGTTTCGAAGAGGCACTCAGGACACTCATCGTAGTCATCATTTTCTTCTTCTTCTTCTTCTTCTTCTTCTTCTTCTTCTTTTTCTTCTTCTTCATTGTTGTTACAGGTGTCACACCTGTGCTTCTCTGGAAAAGAAGAGTATTCAATTCCAGGGCAATTAACAAGTGGTTGTAGTTCATTGATGTGGGTTAACTCGGCACAATGTTTGTGAAGAGAGAGGCTGCAATTACATTCTCCGCATTTGTAATACGATGGGTTCGATATCAGTTCCATACAACCCCTGCAAGTCTCTTTGTCATCATCATTGCTCGCTGGCTTGTAATCAGTAGTAAGGACTAATTTGTGAAGATGCCTCTTCTCTTCGTCATCGTCTTTTTCTATGTATGTATCAATCTTTGCTTCTTCTTCTTCTTCTTCTTCATCTTTCTTCCAAAGAGCGCCATCGACTTTCTTCCAAATATCGTTCACCCATTTCTCCAAATCCATTTTCTGATAGCCATGACAGGAGGCGAGATATTTAACGCCAGAAGTAAGATCCCAATCCCTGACATGACCAGTGGTATCGACCACGAGCTTTGAAGCCTTCTCTGCAATGTAATTATTGTAATCATAATCATTAATTAACCACTCATCGTCGTATAACTTGACTAACCTCTCGAGATCTTCCTCTGTTCGTGGTTTGTACCAGTTTGTTTTTTTGTCTTCAACTCGTTTAAGATGGCGCTGAACCCAAGCATACTTCTTTTGTGGTTTGCACTGGACGATGATGAGACGAGCTCCGGTGGATATTGAGAGTTTGTGCAAGTTTTCGAGATAGGATCGGAGATGGAGTGAGGCGTCAATGATGAGTCTGTGGCCTAGGCAGAGCTGGGTCTGAGCAATTTGGCAAATGATGGAAAAGGATAGATCGTAGAGGTGCTGAATGTCGGCGGCGGCCGCGGCGGTGGTGGTGGTGGTGATCATGGGCTTTTGTTGGAGGTGTGTGATGCAATGATCTTGGGAAATAACAAGGTATTTCAATTCTTTTGCTATTTTTTGGGCAAGGGTGCTCTTGCCCGAGCAAGGGGGACCCTTCATTGCTACGATCACCGGACCCCCGAATCTTTCTTTCTCCATATCCTTCTCGCTCCATAAAATTTTTTTCAAGAAAATAATCATGAAAGATTTATGATCTTTAAATTACCTTGATTAGTATGTGGTGTTTTATTCTAAGTATAATCCAAAAGTCATAAATCTTTCATGATCATTTTCATGATACCTAACATTGCTGTATATATATATATCAGATAGGTATCATGAAAAAATTTTCATGAAAATAATCATGAAAGTTTCGAATTCTTTAGATTACAGTTAAAATAAAACACCACACACTAATTAAGGTAATTCAAAGATCATAAATTTTTCATGATCATTTTCATGAAAAAAATTTCATAATCTCTAACTTTTCTTTATATATATATATATAGAGGGGGAGAGAGAAAGAGATAGAGAGACAGACATACAGACAGAGAGATGAGTGAGTGAGAGAGAGACAAAGTGGTCGCTAAAAGTGCATTTTCTTGTAGTGAAGAGCTCGGTAAATAGAGAAGAGGGGAAGGAGAGAGTGAGCAAAGTGAATACAATAGGGGAGAGAGACAAACAGACAGAGACACAGAGAGAAAGAGAGAGAGAAGAGTGAGAGACAAACATAGAGAGAGAAAGTGAGAAAGAAGAGTGATGAGTGAGAGAGAGAGAGACA